TCCTCTGGAGCTTCACCTTCAATCTTATAGCATTCCTCACTTTCCCTCTGCCATGCTCGCGATGGCTCGCCCGGCCTACCAGTCGATTTTGCAGCTCTCTCCCGATAAGCCTGCCCTGGTCTTCGTTCCAAGCCGCAAGCAGGTTCGTGCGACCGCCGCGGATCTCCTCTCGGCGTGCGCCATCGACAACGATGAAGATCGTTTCCTGAATGCCGATGTCAGTGAGCTTTCTCCTTTGCTGGAGCGTGTTCACGAGCAGACCCTTGCCACGTCGCTTTCTCACGGTATTGGCTACTACCACGAGGCTCTCAATGCCACTGACAAGCGCATTGTCTTGCACCTGTTCAGCATTGGTGCGATTCAGGTGCTGTTGGCTTCGAGAGATGTGTGCTGGGAGTTGGACATCACCGCTCACTTGGTCATTGTCATGAACACTCAATTCTTCGATGGCCGTGAGCATCGTTACATTGACTACCCCATCAGCGATATCTTGCAGATGTTCGGCAAAGCCTCTCGTCCCGGTCAGGACAAGCTTGGCCGTGGTGTTCTTATGGTGCCAGCAGTGAAGCGCGACTACTACAAGAAGTTCTTGAACGAGGCCTTGCCTGTCGAGAGTCACCTGCAGGTGTACCTTCACGATGCCTTTGTGACTGAAGCCAGCACAAGGACTATCTCCTCCACCCAGGATGCGGTTGATTGGATGACATATACCTATTTCTATCGCCGTCTCCTTGCAAACCCCAGTTTCTACGGTCTTAGCGATGTGAGTCACGAGGGACTCAGCACGTTCCTGTCAGAGCTGGTGGAGAACACATTGAAGGAGTTGTCAGAGGCAAAGATCATTGATGTTGATGAAGAAGACGACAGCGTTTCGCCTTTGAACGCTGCCATGATCGCTGCTTACTACAACATCTCGTTCATCACCATGCAAACCTTCTTGTTATCTCTCTCGTCCCGGACAAAGCTCAAGGGCATCCTGGAGATTGTGACCTCGGCGACTGAGTTCGAGTCTATCCAGATGCGTCGCCATGAGAATCACATTCTCCGCCGCGTGTATGATCGTGTACCGGTCAAGATGTCAGAGGTTTCCTTCGACTCTCCTCATTTCAAGGCCTTTGTCCTCCTCCAGGCCCACTTCTCCCGCATGCAACTTCCTCTTGATCTCGCGAAGGATCAAGAAGATATTGTTCGCAAGGTTCTCAACCTGCTCAGCGCTTGTGTGGATGTCCTCTCATCCGAGGGTCATCTCAACGCGATGAACGCAATGGAATTGTCCCAGATGGTGGTTCAGGCCATGTGGGATCGTGATAGCCCACTGAAGCAAATTCCCCACTTCTCTCCTGAGGTTATCAAGGTAGCCAATGAATACAAGTATGTTTCATCCCTAAAATCTCCAGACGCATTTGCTAATCTCCCTTTGCACAGGATCAACGATATCTTCGAATTCATGGAGGCCATGGACCCATCCGAGAACAAGGATTACGCTACTTTGGTCAAACGCCTCGGCCTCGATAACAAGCAATTGGCGCAAGCTGCGGCTTTCACCAACGAGAAGTACCCCAACATCGAGCTTGACTTCGAAGTTGAGGATGCCGAGGGCATCACTTCTGGCGAACCCGCATACCTCAAGGTCAAGATCGAGCGGGACATCGAAGAAGACGAGGAGCCCGACGCCACTGTCCACGCACCATTCTACCCCAGCCAAAAGATGGAGAACTGGTGGTTGGTTGTTGGTGACGAGAAGACCAAGAGCCTGCTGGCTATTAAGCGTGTCACCATCGGCCGCAAGCTCGAACTGCGTCTTGAATATGTCGTCCCTACGCCCGGAGACCATGAGTTGACGCTCTACCTTATGAGCGACAGCTACGTTGGCGTGGATCAGGCCCCCACATTCCGTGTCAATGCGGCAGAGGGAATGGACGAGGATGAGAGCGAAGAAGAAGAGTAAATTTCATGATCTGGGTTGCAGTTTGTAATAATAGTCTATGTTTCCAAAGCCTTAGATAAGAGGTGTTTCATATTACTTTGCTTTTTTTTTTCGATGTAACACTAGACCTCAGCTTACATTCCCCATTCACTACTTCATCTAGAATCTGGAATCTACACAATTACCAGTATAGAGATTATATATATAGTTATTTATACGTATCTATCTAGTTCATTGTGCAATAAGATAAATAACCAACTGGCAAATGAAGTCATGCAAGGTACATGGCGCTTAACCTAATCAGGGCTATAACCCCCGCATGATCAGTTGCTCCCCAACCTCCTCTTCTCCAACTCCTCTGCTCTCATCTTTCTCTTCAATATCATCAATAGCATCCTAAGTCGTGTTCTGGGTGTTTTGTTTATCCCAAAATCCTGTTGATATCTTCATTTAAGCTCAATTCGGCCCTGGAAGCTCCCGAGCTTCCTATCTTATCTACCATACGATCTGATATGGCAATTCGGACCATGAAGTTCACTCCCGAGTAAGTATAAGTACTGTTGATATACTAGACAATTCGACATGAATCTTTAGTTTAAGCATATTTGAAAACACTCAACTAACACTGAAATCTCTAGGGTCCTGCTCGGAGCACCCAGGCGGTCCTCAGCCGTTCCCAATGCGGCCGGCACCCTAGCGGTCTACACGCAGACATCCTACTCCTTCGAGTCCCATTCAAAGACCAATGAAATCCGCGTTATAGATATCAGCTCCGGCCGATCTGCCCTTATCACCAACGACGCCGGTGCCAGTAACCCACAGTGGGTGGACGACAGCGACAAATTAGTTTGGCTAAAGACCAAGGGCAACGGCAATACAAGCTTCATTGTCGGCGATGCCCGCCAGGCTGATGAAACATACACCGCAGGCACTGTCCCAGGCCCCGTATCGGATCTGAAGGTGGTCCTGCTGGAGCCAGGAAAGGTTGGTTTCGCCGTGACAGGCAAGGCCAATACAGATGGATCGCTGTACAACCCCCACGATGCGAAGAAGCCACATACCACCGGTAAACTGTACACATCTCTCTTTGTTAGACACTGGGACTCGTATGTCGAGCCCCAGAAGAACGCGATCTTCTATGGTTTGCTGGAACAGGCTCCCCTGTCTCCGGCTCGTAGACAGGCTGGGAAGTACTCCATCTCGGGCCTCACAAACTTGATCGCGGTCTCGGGACTGGCGGGTGTTGAGTCGCCGATTCCGCCTTTTGGTGGTACTGGGGACTTCGATATCAGTCCGTCGGCTATTGTGTTTATTGCGAAAGACCCTAACCTAAACCCCGCGACTCATACTTCGTGCTCGTGCTACTATGCTCCCATGTTCTCGTGGACTAGCATGAGTGAGCCTGAATCGAAGATCTGTAAAGTTGCCGGTCTTCAGGGAGCGATGTCGTCTCCAGTCCTTAGCTCAGACGGTAGCTCTATTGCCGTTCTGGCGATGCGCGAGGATGGCTATGAGTCTGATAAGAACCGTATCCTATATGTTCCCAACCCATGGAATGGAGATATGATCGAGATCTTCCAGTCGGATGATGGCGAAGGACTCTGGGATCTCAGTCCCTCGGTCGTGTCGTTTGCTCATGATGACAAGTCGCTGCTCCTTCACGTCGAGGAGGTTGGCCGCGGAGTTCTCTACCAGCTGCCGTTAGAGAATGTGCACACAATCAAGCCCGACTCTCTAAAGAGACTCACCAGGTCGGGATATGTGAACGACGCCGTTCCTGCAGCTGCCAAATCCCCCAAGCTGTTCATCTCTAGCAGCAGCCTGGTCGATAATAGCCTGTGGACCATCATTGACCCAGCCAAACCAGACGATGTCCAAATGATATCTTCAAACGGAAGGGGCGGCAGTGCATTCGGCTTGTCCTCGGCCCAGGTCGATGAGATCTGGTTCACGGGAGCTGAAGACCACCCTGTTCACGCGTGGGTTGTGAAGCCGTCCGACTTCAAACCTGGGAACAAATACCCGCTCGCGTATTTGATCCACGGTGGACCCCAGGGCGCGTGGAACGATCAGTGGAGCACACGCTGGAACCCCGCTGTTTTCGCCGAACAAGGCTACGTCGTGATCACCCCCAACCCAACGGGCAGTACTGGCTATGGCCAGCCTTTCACCGACGGAATCCAGGGACAATGGGGCGGGCGGCCCTACGAGGACCTGGTTAAGGGATTCGCCTATATCGAGCAGCACCTAGATTATGTTGACACGACGCGCGCGGTTGCACTGGGCGCCTCGTATGGCGGCTACATGATGAACTGGATGCAGGGAAATCTGCTCGGGCGCAAGTTCAAGGCGTTGGTTACCCACGACGGAGTGTTTAGCATGACCTCCCAGATGGCTAGTGAAGAGCAGTACTTCCCTCTGCACGACCTGAAAGGACCAATCTGGAAGGTGCCGGAGAACTGGGCGAAGTGGGATCCATCGCGATTCACGGAACACTGGCAGACGCCTCATCTGATCATTCACAACGAGCTAGATTACCGTCTAACCATCGCGGAGGGTCTGGCTGCGTTTAATGTGCTCCAGATGCGCGGCATTGATAGTGCGTTCTTGACGTTCCCCGATGAGAATCATTGGGTACTGAACCCTGAAAACTCGCTCATGTGGCACCGGACCGTGTTGAACTGGATTAACAAGTACGTGGGCCTCCCGGCTGTGTCAGAGGAACCCGATCTGTCGCACGGAGTGGGCAGTTTGTCGCTGCGATAATAGCTTTGTTTTTGGTTTGGGCCAATGAATGGTAAACTTGAATATGAAACGTCTATGGATATTTATGAACATGGTTGTTCTTTTCTTGGAAACAAAGACTACGGGGAGAGGGTTTGAAGAAACTTGCCTTACGGCGAATTCAGAATGTCTTTGTGCGATAAAGATAGTTCGGGTGTTTCATCTCATTGTCGATGGTTCTTTGAGGGTTTCGATAATCGTATACATTTCGTATATATATGTGTTCAACTTCCTCGATTTGCATTCTAATTCACATTGCATACTCCTATACTTATATCACACCATCACAATGGCCGAAGGTCCAACAACCCCCAACTCTCCTCACAGCGTCAGCTGGTTCTCCGAGCGAACTCTTTCAGTCTCCACGGCCGTAGACCCTCCAAGTCCAAGCAATTGCTCCGTCACCCCTCTAGACCTCACCGATTCCCCCATCCCAATCGAATATCGCACCATCACCTTTCGCGAAAGCCCCAACTTCCACCCTCATTTCCTGCCTCTCCTCCGCCACCTCGCTGCCCAACTCTGGCCTCTCGTCAATTGCGAAACAGGCCTCCCTCACCCGGACTTCCCACCCAATATGCTAGCCTACAACCTTCTGACCTCGGCACAGGTCGATAACCTGGCCCGCCATTTCCATCAGGTTTACCCGCCTATCCCTGCTACGTTTAATTATCCTATTTGTATTACCCCGTGGATTGGAACCCCGGAGGAAAAGACCCTTGATCTTCCTACGAGGCTAAAGAGGTTGGGACGGTTTTTTGGGTTGAGGGGGTGTGAGGAAGATGTGGATATGGATGCAGATCATGTTGATCATGTTGATCATGAGAATGAGAATGGGAATGAGATGAGGGAGAGTGACGAGGTATTACAACAGATGGAATTGGAGTGGCAGCAGGCATTGCAGAGAGCGTATGCCGAGGAATCGCACCGGTGGAACTTGAAGTGATTTTTTTGATCAGAACTGTAGAAATATGAAACCAGGCTATAACCCCAATTTCCTTTCCGTTTTAGCCGTCGGGGCCGGTTAAAAGGATAGACACAAGCAGGCTAATAGAGGGTAAAGGGAATGAGGGGGTAATCTAGATGGTAAAAATATTAATAGTCTGCGGCCCTGGTACTCTTCTAAAACAACCAAAATGTCTAAACCAATCGTCAACCACATCTACACGGCGGATCCGTCCGCCCACGTATTCAACAACAAACTCTACATCTACCCCAGCCATGACCGTGAAACAGATATCGCCTTCAACGACAATGGCGACCAATATGATATGGCTGACTACCACGTCCTCTCCATGGAGACAATTACCAGCCCCGTAACCGACCACGGTGTCGTCCTCCGTGACAAAGACATTCCCTGGGTCTCAAAGCAGCTCTGGGCACCAGATGCCGCAACCAAAAACAACAAATTCTACCTCTTCTTCCCCGCCCGTGATCAAAAGGGGATCTTCCGGATCGGTGTGGCTGTCTCCGATTCCCCAGAAGGTCCTTTTGCCCCGCAGGATGATTATATCCAGGGGACATATAGTATCGACCCTGCTGTCTTTGTGGATGAAGAAGCCGGTGGTGAGGCGTATCTGTATGTTGGTGGGATCTGGGGTGGACAGTTGCAGTGTTGGGTGGAAGGGAAGGATGTTGAAGATGGGGAGTGGGTTGATGGAGATGAGGGTGGCGTGGATGGAAAGAAGAAGAGACTTGTGTTCGATGAGAGCATGTCTGGACCGCAGGAGCCATCTGGGGAAGGGGTGAAGGCGCTTTGCCCGCGTGTTGCGCTGTTGAGTGATGATATGCTGTCTCTTGCGTCGCCCGTGAAGGAGGTTGTTATTCTGGCGCCGGAGACGGGGGAGCCTTTGCTGGCGGATGACCATGAGAGGAGGTTCTTTGAGGCCGCTTGGGTGCATCGGTATAAGGGAACGTATTATTTCTCTTACTCGACGGGTGATACGCACTTCCTGGCTTATGCCACCGGTGACTCGCCTTACGGTCCGTTTACTTACCGGGGACGCATTTTGGATCCGGTGCTTGGGTGGACGACGCATCATTCCATTGTGGAGTTCCAGGAGAAGTGGTACTTGTTCTATCATGACTGTGAGCTTTCCAAGGGAGTTGATCATTTGAGGTCGGTGAAGGTTAGGGAGATTGTTTATGACGACGAGGGGGCGATTCACCTTGCTGAGAAACAGACTGCTGTTAAATAAATGGTATTCAGGTGTGATTTTGGATACATATTTGATATTATATTCTCGTTTATCGAAGCTGGGTGTAATCTAACTGTGCATCTATTCTAATTGAGCATACCCTGCTCCCGATTCTCCTGAACCAGCTTCCAGTACTTCTCGCGAGACCGTTCGCGGAATGTCTTTCCAAATTTGATCATGAAAAAGAATACCGAAGCGCAGGCCATCCCGACAAAAGCAGCAGAAATAAAGCACTTCTGGTACCCCAAGTCTTTGATCCAAGGCGTGATGCTCAAAAAGAAAGTCAGCTTTTGGTCTACTAGAACTCGAAAGGAGAAACATACCCGAAGCTAATGGCGAAGGACATGGTATTCCGGATCAGCATCACGCTAACCAGAGCAATACTGCTCAGTTCTCGGTAGCTGTCAATAAAGTAATTGACGCTAAGCGTAATGCCACAGGCATTGCTGAAACCAAGCATAGATATAGCCACGAGGAGTCCAAACCAGTGGATTTCGTGAGCAGCACCGACACCCCATAGAATGAGGGAACAAGGCACCACTACGAAACAAACGATAAATGGCCACAGACGGTGCTCTGCCTCCATGACGCCGCCGTTTCGGCGGGCCAATTTGACAGTGAGCCAGTCGCTGAATCGGCCGGTGAAGAGGGATCTATTCCGCGTCAGCTTGGATTGCAGTATTGGTTAGGAGGGGGGAGCATCTTACCCTATCACCACACCCGTGATGGGAGCTAGATAACACAGACCGACCATTGAGGACCTGGGAAGAGTTAGCTTGGATTCTGCATTTTTCTCTTTTTTTTTTTTAAAAAAAAAGACCAACCTGAAGTTATAAGGTGCTCCGCCAAGAATTATAGAGGTCGTTCCATTCATAATATTAAAGTAAACCAGGTAGGATCCATAAGAGAAGCTGGCTTGCATGTTAGTCAAAATGTATAAACCCAAGGACATTGCCAATTCATACCCAGCGTAGAAAATGACCGGCCACGAGAGGAAATAAAGAGACTGCCAGAATCGCCGGAACATCGTATTGCTGTTCCTTTTCGAGGTCCAAAGCGCCAATTTATTCATATATGTCTTCTTAGTGTAAACGGTACCGGTCTCGGTAGGTTCGGCATCAACAATCGTGGATTTCTTCTCGCCATCCGAGCTGAGTTTTGGCGACTCCGTGCGTTCAAAATTGCTAGGCGCGCTCACTCGATCATAGGTGGTTTCCTCACAGAAAAAGAAGAGGAAGACGGTTGCACAGCCGACAAAGATACTCGGGTAGTAGAACACCCACCGCCAGCCGTGGTACTGGGCGATGAAACCACAGATGACGGGCGCGACGTAATTGCTTCCTGCTAGGCAAAATGTGTAAAGACCCATGTATTTTCCTCGCTGGTGAGTGAAGTACTGATCTTGTGTCAGCGTCGGTCGTTTCGTTATGGCGGGTTCAACTTACCACATCCGTGACCGAGATTTGAGGGAGCGCCTCCACGGGGGCTGTGAAGAAACCTAATAGAATACATCGTGCGAGCCACTGACCTTTGGTATGTGCGTATGGTCTAAGCGGTGTTAGTAGACCGGTCTCTCATTACGGACAGTATACTTCTTACCCCCACATCGTCATAGCCTGGATTAATTATTAGCTATCATTTCCAAGTGATATCCAGTTCTGGACGTACCAAAATTCCCATCATGGACAACAGGTAAGTCGGCCGCTTGCCATACTGCATAGCAAAGGGCTGCCAGAAGAGCAAGCCCCAACCAGCCAACAAAAACATAAACCCGGTTCCCTGGTTCAGAGTGCTGATTGGTAGTCCCGTTTGTTCGGAGAGCGGCGTGAGGACTGAGTACACAACCGAGCAGGCAATTCCTCCGAACCCTGTATAGATGCTCACACAGATTGTCGATAGGAGCTTCCGTCTCCGACTCCAATTGAGAGGGTCGTCTGGGTCATTTGAGGGCGTAGGGATCAGCACAATATCGCCGTCTCCTTGGTCCGCATGCCGGGCCTCCAAGTCATGATTTACGTCCACCAAAGTGACGGTGCCAGGGATAGCTGAGGTGTCGATGACTGGCGTCATGGTGTATGGGGTTGAAGCAAAAGCAGAGTTCCCCTGTGAAAGAGCAAAAGATCAAACAGGAGAGAGAAAGCAAGCAATATAAAGGGTATCTCCGCAGATCAACATATCGGAAGAGACCCCCGTAGACAGTCGAGGTTGGCAGTGATAGACATGAAAAAAAAAGATAAGACCTCCTATCGTTTTTCCCCCGCAAAGTCGGTCTTGGCGTGGTGTTTTTGATATTTTTATATGTTGGACTTCTCTCTTTCAACCAATCATCCCTTCAAAGATCAAATATCTCCAATTAATTGCGGAGTATATCGGCATTTAGTCCGATTCTTATCATCGACCTTCATTGGACAATGGAAATCTTCCTCACTTCAATCCCTAAACTGGCCTAAACTGGGCCAACTCCTTGGACAGCCATAGATTCCCTTCCTATTTCGGTCTAATGTCATCCCCCCTTCAGGAAATAAACGATTCGACTAATTCTTGGCTTCGTCTCCATAACGCCTCTGCACTTTCTTCACCCATTGGGAAGTCGAGATGTGGTAACTGGGGTGTCTGGCAATGATCGAGAAACGCTCCAGATTGGACTAACACCTTGTGTTCACCAATGAGTACACATATACACACATCTCATGGTTTTCTTACCTTCAAGCTCTGGATCCAGCAATCCACGCAACACGGTGGCACTACCTTGACCAAGAGACTTTGGTGCTTGCTGTAACAGGACTGGTATATCTTCACCCGCTGGAAATCCGGTCAAAAAAAAAAAGGGTCTTCACCGTTATCTCAAATGGGCATACCTTCTTTCTTTCGTTGGAGCCAGGTCTTGATATCCTCCATTGACACGTATGTCTGGATGTTGGTTTTGGTATCTGAATCGGGATGAGAATGAATACCAAAAAGCACATTCACCGATTGACTCACTTCCTGGTTTTGCAGAAAAGGCAGCGATACTATACTTCTTCACAACACACTTGATGAACAAGATGATCGCGAGCATGGATTGCGAATATCCATCGAGACAGTGGTAGTTCTTTCCATTCTACTCAAATCAGCACTACATCGGCAAACCAATAAACCAAACTCACCTGAAACCCCAAATCTTCCCACGAAGGCGCGGGCGCCTCCTTCCGCAAACTAGACGTAACCAGAACAATCCCCAACTCAGGCCCCATAATATCACACAACAGATTCAACATCAGGAAATAACACAGGTAATTCCTCTGGAAATGAGACTCGTGTCCGTCCACCGTGAGATCCCAGGGTACAGCCATGACCTCGGGAAACCCAACGAAACCATCAATGGTCACGCCCAGCTTCTTGATAGTCTGCGCTGCCTCGCGGAACGAAGCCAGGCTGCCCTGATCGGCCGTCACAAAGATCATTTTGACCGCTTTGTGTTTCCGATTGATGTGGTCCAGCACCGGCTGGAGTTCGGGCTGTGAGTGGCCTGTGCATATGATGGTTCCTGCGCCGCTGTGGGCCAGGGCATCTGCGGTTGTTGCAGGGAGATCGCCTCGTTTGAGGCCGCATATTAGGACTTGGAGAGGTTAGTTTATATACTGGGGTTGTTAGGGTTGTAGCGGTACATGTTTTTCCCTTCACCCGGTCCCGGAACATCTTCGTCACGTCCATTCCCTGTGTCTGCTCGTCGAAGGTATTGCTCATTGTGCTGGATTTTGTTTGAATTGGAGTAGGCCGAGAGATGTCTACTTTCTACTTAGAATGCACAAGTTTGGCATGTCGTCATAATGAAACCATCCCGGAGTATTCGACCTACATGGAGATGAATCGTACACCTAGAACAAGACTTAGAATGAACAATGAAATTATGAGGTAACTTGTAGACACGCTGGGTAAGTTCGAGTAATAGACGATGATGAGCCCTAGAAATCAAATGCGCATTCATAATGTACAGCTAAATAAATCGCACGTATACGGAGCCTGCCGGTCAAAGGAGAAGAACGCAAAGAAAACAAGATCCAGATATTAGTGAGATGGACCTGCGTCATCTTCAGGCATCTGGTCAATAACACCCTTCATGAGCTCGATAAGCTCATCAATATCGGGCCGTTCGGAGGGCTCAACAGTGAGACATCTGCGAACAATATCCTTGACGGGGGCACTGATCGCAGGGACATCGCTTTTAGATGCATCCTCGCTTTCACCGGACTTAGCTTTACCCTTGGAAGCGCTAGACTTCTCATCGGGGAATCGCCAGTCACCACCAAGAACACACATGCTCAAGCTACCACCGGTCTCTTCACTGCGCGCCTCGAAGGGACTCTTGCCCACAAGACAGGCGTAAAGTGTGCAGCCGAGCGACCAGATATCAACCTTGGTATCAATGATCGACCCTGTCTTGACATCGAAGAGCTCCGGTGCGCGGTATGGCATCGTGCTGTGTTCTGCTGCGGTATCCTGCACCGCCAAGGCGAGGGAGCGCGACGTAATGGCGATGGGGCTGGGTGCCAAAGAGCCTAGATCCATTAGGATGGGCGATTGACCGTTGTCATCGATCATGATGTTTCCTATAACAGGTTAGTACGTCGACTTCGGAATTTCCATACCAGCCAGAGCGGTAACTCACCAGGCTTGACATCTCGGTGCGCATAAGGGCGCAGGTCCCCATCCTCGACACCTTCCTGACTCCGGGTGACCTCGTCATCCATCAGGGGCTCATTCTCCTCATCCTCCTCATCTTCAGCCATGCTGTGTGTAGCCCTCCGTTTCGGTTTCATCTGCATAGTCCGTTCCTCGTCTACCTCCTCGCCTTCTCTCCGAACACCCTTCGCCTTGCGCGTAGACGCCGACCCACTCTTCACCCGATAATGATGCATCGCGCGCAGCGCATCGGCAACACCGAGTATCAGGACCATCAGCCGCTTCTCTGGGAATGTGGTATGGTTGACCAGATTGGCATTGATGGCATCCTGGAGGTTACCGCGCTGGTAGTATGGGAGTAAAATATAGACCGTCTTTGAGCCTGGATCTCCGCCATCGGATCTGAATTTTGAGCCGGATTCCGTGGACACGCAGTGGTCGATTGAGTGGATGATGTTGGATTGGGAGCTGAAGATGTTGTAGGCTTCGACTTCTTTCAGGGCTTGCGATACGGATTCCTGGCCAAATGGACAGCGGATCTTCTTTAGCGCGAATAATTCGGAACTCGTTTTATCTTGGACTAGGTAGACGTAGGAAAATCCGCCCTGTTGCGTTGTCAGTTTCCGACAGTTCAGACCAGGTTGCAGTTATATCGGGTATCCATACCTCACCCAACAAACGTAGGAGTTTGAAACTTCGATTGTTGATCTTTAGCTGTGGGGAACTAGGAAAGCAACACATGCAATCCGTGAAGTTGTACAGGAGGTCAAAGAAGTATTGCGCCATGATGTTTAATGCGATGGCAGGTAGAGAGGCAGAGGAGCCCGGTGACGTCCGGTATGGTAGGGTGCCAGGGTGGTAGCGTAGTTAAAAAATGGATAAGATCGTCGCGAAAGATAGATGTGTCTTGGAGATGCAGAGGTAAGGATATATGCAAAGTGGAAGTTGAAGTGGTCGACATTACGTGGAGTGGAGTCCTCTTTTATTTGTTGTCCCCCTTTCTCTTTCAAGTTGTTTTATATCTACATTTCTCGTCTCTCTTTTCTCATCTAACTGGTCAAATTGGAACTGGTTAGGTCTTTTTTGATTCGTTTCTCTCTCTCTCCTTTCTTCCCAATCATGGGAGTTGGGCCGTCAATTCAATATCCTTGCATTCTCCTCACTCTACACACCCTTCGGACCCAGGGGTTATTGATACTCGGACTTCTTTAAAAGCCACATCCCACCTTTTCTCCTCTTCATATCCATATCCTTCGCAATGGCGCACGATGATGTACGTGTCGGTGAGGTGGTGAATGTCCCCGGTGGCATGTATGGGACGATCAAATACTTGGGACCAGTGGCGGGGAAGGCCGGACGATTCGCAGGAGTCGAACTGAGCTCCGAACACGCCCAAAGAGGCAAAAACAGCGGCGATGTTGACGGCCGGAAGTACTTTGTGACCTCGATCCCGGGTGCTGGCATATTCGTTCCCATGAACAACAACAAGTATGTCACAAGGCGATCCAATGTCTCTACACCCACCACTCCTGCACGCGGGAGACCCGTCAACTTCAGCAAATCTGTCGGTGCAGCTCTTACTACCCCTCGCCCTCGAGTCCGACGGCCTTCTCTCCCTCGACCCGAATCCCCGCGCGTGCCCCCTCCGAAACTTAGCCTGGCCGGCTTGCGGACACCGTCGGCTGCATCGAGGACCAGCGGGATGAACAGCGCCATGCGGAGTCCTGTCAAGGCTCCGTCTCGACTGTCAGATAGACCCTCGTCGCGACTTAGTGTGGATGATGATGCTTCGTCGTATGGACGGCCATCGGACTTCCGCCGACCGCTTTCGTCGGAGACTCAGGACTTGAAGGATCAGATCAAGAGTCTAGAGAAGCAGCTTTTAGACCGAGATAAGCAGCTCGACGAACAGTCGGGAACTTTGAGCGAGTTCCAGAAGACCTTGGAGGAGATGGAGGGACCGGATGGTCATTCGGTCCGTACACAGCTACGCGAACGCAACGAGCGGATTATCCAATTAACGGCCGAATTCGACGTCCACCGCGCAGATTTCAGAAGCACCCTCGACACATTAGAGGTCGCAGCCTCCGAAACAGAACGCGTCTATGAGCAGCGTCTCGACGAGCTTATGCAGCAGAACAAGGAACTGCAGGACCGCGGCGAAGATGTTGAGATTGTTGCGCAGCAGCTTAAGCAGTTAGAAGAACTGGTCTCGGAGTTGGAGGAAGGCCTCGAGGATGCTCGGCGTGGAGAGGCCGAGGCGAGGGCTGAAGTCGAGTTCCTCCGTGGCGAAGTCGAGCGAACCAAGCTGGAGCTGAAAAGGGAGCGTGATAACTCCGCCGCTGCGCTGAAAGACGCACACGCCGCTGCAGATGGACCCCGCAGCAGCAGCAGCAGCAGTGAATTGGATCAGAAGGACGATGAGATCCGAGGACTCAAAGCTATTATCCATTCATTGAGTCGCGGAAACCCCAGCACGGCAGGTTTGGGACAGAACGGCTCGGACTATGACCACAACCCGGAGCAGATTAACCAGCTGGAGATTCGACTACAAGAGATCGAAGAAAATACAAACCGCAAAGATAATCGGATCGAAGAGCTCGAGCGTGAACTCCAGGAGATGCACCTGCAGTCTGGTGGCCGTCGCCGCAGCTCTACTGTCACTCTTTCACCAAAACAACACAGGCCCTCACACTCTGCGAGCAATATCTCCAATCATTCAAACAACCCCAACCCCAACCGTCTCTCTGACCGTACAGTGGTCCCGACCGACTGGCACGATGCTCCTTCAGAGTCTCGTCACCACCGTGGTATCTCCAACTCTTCTCAGTCACGATTGGAGACCATGCATGAATCGGAACGCTCTTCCGATGAGGATACCATGTGGTGTGAGATCTGCGAAACAGGTGGCCATGACATCCTGAACTGCACTAGCATGTTCGGCTCTGGCCAAAAGACTGCTGAACAGAAGAATCCCATACGTGATGCTGCCGACGACCTTGCCGATGAACACCCAGTTCAGAAGACCGAACCCCTCCAAACCAAAGCCTCGTCCATTCATTCCGATACTCCTCCTGCACTAAAGACAGGACGGGATGTGGTCATGGAAGGTTTGAAGGGCATCGGCGGACTGAGCTCATCCATGGCTCCCATTGCCGGTAAGTCATCAGGAGTCATCGATGAATCTAAATGGTGTGCTCTCTGTGAGCGAGATGGTCATGAGAGTATCGACTGCCCGTTTGATGAATAAGTTTCTGGACATGCATCTATGGGGTGTTTTTCTAGTACATGATTATTGGCTTGGTTTGGTTCACCCCGGTGAATAAATGGTGTTTCGTTTTTCGAGGGGGGCTTCCTGGAAGGTTATTGGGAGGGTTTGTGCCCCCCGGGGAGAAGAGGATTTGCATCACGGTGAGGCTGTGTGCTTGTAATAAATACCATTTTTTTGGTCATAATAAGATATCGATGTCGTTAGTGTATACAGTTTTCCGTCTTCCATTGTAGCTCGGGTTGATGCCGACTTGGATCGCCTTTTGTTATGTCGAGGAACGTATTCATCCCATTATATTCTATTTTTATTCATGTCATATCAAATAATGTTTGATTCGTCACTCATAACCATTCATGACCGAAAAGGATTACAGTTGCAGCACCAACCTCTCCCCGATGGACCTGATCAGCGTACTATTCAGGATGAGTTGGCGGCTGCACAATTTCCCCTTCCTGATATTTCGACGCCGCAATCTCTCCACAAGTCTTACACTTGCGCTTTTCCTCGTCGGCCGCAAACTCCTCGACCACAGCTTTGACCTGCGTCCCCAGGTCAACACACACGAACTTTTTCTCCCAGACAATCTCCTTGCAGTTCTTGCAATACCATCTCATAGCATCGACTGCATCTTTAGCGCGCGGCTGCTCCATCACAACACCGACACTGTCCTTGAAGCGCACGGGGCAGTGTGGGGTGTTCGCGGGCAGTAGGAAGATCGATCCTTCGTGAATGGGGATATCTTGGAAACTAGGAGGTGTGGTTGAATTGTCGACTGTTTTGAGGAGCATTGATCCTCGGTATTGGTAGAAAAACTCTGGGGTTGTGTTAATGTGGAAGTCGGTGCGGGCATTGGGCCCGCCCACTATCATCACTGTGTAGCCGGCTGTGGCCGGTGTTGACGGGTGATAGACACAGTAGTTATTGACTGGTGGCTGGAGGAGATGGGAGTTTTCTTCGAGCCTGGATAGATGTTAGCAGTTGGCTTTGGGAGCTTGCTTATGGCTCGCGTGATGAATCATAGTATCATATAGTGGCGGAGTTATTGTAAGAAAGATATGAGATGTTTGAAGCTTCTTGGCTTACCATTTGGGAATGTTTAGCGCTGGAGGAAGCATTGTGCATATACCAAGATCTGATCTTGTCAGAGTCTAGTATTTTGCAGATATCGCATGAGGTTGACTTAGAAACCTTAGAAATCCGAAACGATCTGATCCCCGGAGATATCAGCTCCACCCGGACTTAACCACCGGCCCGGATCAACCTTACCCCGTCAATTTTTCTTTTTCATATCTCCAATCCAGCTGGGCAGTGTTCAACGGCGATAGTCTTAACCAACCACACAAAATGGCAACAACCTCTCAACCCCCCCTTCGGTTTACGTCCCATCACAATCTGGTATATCGCCTGGTTTTGTCCACCCTCACCGGCCGCACAATCCACATTTCGCAAATTCGTTCCTCGTCGCCCACGAATCCGGGTCTTGCGCCTCATGAAATTTCTTTCCTCCGTCTCCTAGATGCAATCACCAATGGCTCTCAAATGGAGATCTCATACACCGGAACGGTGCTTGTTTACAAGCCCGGTCTGATCACCGGCAGCACGGCCGGTACTGGAGCCAGCGGCGGCATGATCACTTACGAGCTTCCCTCAAACTGTAACCGCGGTCTCAGTTACTTCCTGATCCCGCTCTGTCTGCTGGCCCCCTTCGCCAAAGCACCCATGAAGGTGCTCTTCACAGGACCCGGTGTCATCACCTCGTCGACACCGACCGGAGATATGTCCGTCGATAGCGTTCGCACTGCGATCCTCCCTCTGTACAAGCAATTCGGTATCTTCAACAACATTGAGCTCCGTATCTTGAGGCGATCAAACCCTGGCCCCACTGGTAGGGGTGGCGGTGGTGAAGTGCAACTCGTGTTTGGCCACCAGGTCCGTCTGCCGAAGACTCTGCACTTGATGAACGCCGGCCGCATTAAGCGCATCCGTGGTGTTGTATACTCGGTTGGTGTGTCTGGCTCGAACAATGCTCGCATGATTGAGACTGCCCGTGGTATCCTCAACCCACTCAGCCCTGATACTTATATCTTCTCCGACGTTGCGTCTGCGCCTTTGGTACCAGCTCCGGATAAGACCAACCCCCAAGCCAAGAAGAAGATCGGTCTTGGATTTGGTTTGTCCTTGGTAGCGGAGTCTTCCACGGGCTGCCTATTCTCGGCCGATGTGGCCTCTCCGCCATCGGGTGGTCAAGCCCCCGAGGAGGTCGGAAAGCAGTGTGCATTCCAGCTTCTGGAGACGGTTGCCAAGGGAGGTTGTGTGGCTCCTGCGGCTGCGACGACCATGTTCACTCTCATGACCATGGGCTCGGAGGATGTTGGGCGGCTGCAGGTTGGCCGAGATGTAATTGCTGATCCCAACGTGGTCCAGCTCGCTCGAGACCTGTCCAAGTTCGGTGCCCCCGGTTGGGGTATCCGAGACGCACCTGACAATGGAGATGGAGATGTGATTGTCAGCATTGTCGGCCGTGGAATCGGTAACGTCGGCAGAAAGGTTGCTTAAGCTGCCGTGGACGGCTTTCGCACTTCATTCCAAGTCTACCACCACTCTGAGGGCTTTGCCAAACAATTCGGAAGTCTCGCCTCAGCAGTTCACTCCTTCCCAGACGGGGCCACGTGGTAGTCCATCAGATGCCGTCGGCGTCACGGGGTTCTGGCCGTCTGTCCAGTGCGCGCCAGTGTACTCCAAGAAGCTCATGTTTCAAGGCTTGACTGTCGAGCATGAACTCGACCTGTCGTTCCACAGCGACGAAGCCATGTGAGGCAAAAGACTGCTTTTTCCATCATGATACCCATACAAAACTTGCTAGAGCAAGGTGTCAATACATAGGATTCAATAACATTGTCTTCGCTTCTACCTCCCTTTCTACTTGTATATTTGTATACTTCTATGTTGACATAATAGTGACATAGATATCAGGTAAGGTGTGTATCCTGAGGCCGTCGACACTTTTGTTAATAAATACCCGCATCCCCCTCATCTTCCTCTTCTCTTCTTCATCTCCTCTCCATCCCCCATCCTTCATCTTCATCCTTCATCTTCATCACCCCCTTCCATCCTTCACCTTGACAGTTTTCGGGTTCTGTGACTGCCATCTATCCCTCGCCTTCTGCTCACCGGTCCCGGGGCAACCTGGTGCCGTACTGGGAAGTGAAGAGACGGACTTCATCATCATGTTGGGTTCTGCAACGTCTTCTGCCTTATTTGCCTTATCTGCCATTTATTCTATCATTTACCCCAGCGATGGCTCGCACCTCAATGTGGTGCTGGGGTCCAGTAACCCTCCGGGGTGAAGCGAAGACGAGCCTACCATCTATATGACGTCTATATGACATCTGTTTACATCTTGGTTTATCATCTCGTCATTCACTTGTTATCCATCTTCCAAATTCATCCCTTGCTTTCTGCCCACCGGTCCCGGGGAAACCTGGTGCCGGCTGGGTTGGAGCCATTTATTTTGCCATTTACCCCAGCGTTGGCTCGCACCTCATCGTGGTGCTGGGGTCCAGTAATCCTTTTGGATGAAGCCAAGATGAGTCTCAATGTTTTGTTTTCTGGGTGTGTTTGGGTGTTTTTTTCTTCTCTTCTGCAGTGTTTATAACTTCCAGGTAGGGCTTGATGATCGTGTGACTTAGTATTTGTTCTGGGTGGACTTCGTATTTATTCAAAGGGGCTAGCCTTTTGTTTTTGGATTACTAGGTAGTTCACTAGGTGAATATATGGAATGATTGTAATAAAATGATTCTCGTTCTAATTTTATGAAATCTAGACGCTAAGCAGACGAAAGGACATGAAAGGACAAGACATGAGACATAGATGCAGGAGAGTCCCCACAGGACAAAGAAAACAGAGTGCTTGAACGCTTTTGAATCGAAACAGCAAAAGGAAAATCAACATGATAGAAATGAACATGAAAAAGAAAAAAAAAAAGCGAGATGATAGTGTGCAATGAAAGACCAAAGAAGACCAAAGAATACAAAAGATTGTGCAAGAAGCCGAGAAAACGCCAAAAGTAACAAAAAATAAATCAAAAACAAGACAATAGACAAGAATCCCTCGATCGGATGGATATCTTAGTCCGAGGTATCCTCATCCTTACCAGGATACATAATATCCTGGCGATAGACTGCAAGTATATGATTGACAAAGACAAAGATGAACATGCAGACAATGCAAACAGTCATCGCAGAGCCAACACCCTTAATCGCCGTGCTATCAAACGCATTTCCAAGCGTAATAGTAGCAATCGTAAACCCGGTATTAGGGAAAACCATGGCCCACCAGCTAAGATGGAAGCTTGTCGGCGGTGATCGAATAACCGCAATAGCAGCAACACAGAAGAACCAAAGGCTCAGCGCCCACAAGAACGCGCCAGCTGTCAATGCCAGAATCTCGATCATGCGGCCATCAGCTGCTGTGTCCTCACTCCCCATCACCTTGAATGTCGCTGGCAGTCCCTGCGCCATACCCACCAGAGCAAGGGCCGTGAATGCGGGCGGTCCGACGCAGATGAACATCGCTGGTCGGTGTTCGCGGCACGGAAGTCCGCTCTCCATCAGTCGTCCGATGTAGTGCGAGTACATCATGAACGAAAGGCAGAAGCCCAGGCCTTGGAAGGTCACTCCAGCGGTGACGATTGGGATTGCGGCGCGCTCAGGCTGGCGTGAGGCGATGACAGATGCGATCGTGCCACTTAGCATGATTGGAAACGCGGGCAGGACCCAGGATGGCATCATTGTTTGTAGGCGGTAGGTGTGCGAGGTGAAGACGAACGAGTATTGTACCACGGCGAGGGTAAAGGTGCAAAAGCAGTATATCCAAAAGAGGACTTCGAGGGTTGTTGTGAAGGATGGGGCAGCATTGTCGCCGAAGTATTTCTCCAGGCCGGTGATCATTGTGGCGACGGAGAGCCAGAAGGTTGGGAAGAAGAGGCCTTCACGTTCATGGCGGAGAGAGTTGAGGGCCCCACCGTGGATTATAAAGCGCGCTGCCATGAGAGAGCAGACGAGGGAGAAGAGGATGAGGTTGATTATGTAGATGGCTAGGCCGATCTCACGGCAGCCTTGGAATTTGTTCGGTTGGTTTGCTATGAGGAGGGCTAGACCTCCTGCGCTCATGGTGAGAGTGTACCATGCCCATGTGAAATGGCGGAGGCGCTCATGGAAGCTCAGCGGGTATTGCTTCTCGCACTTCTCTTTCATGAAGGGTGTGTCGGAGTGAGAGGACGGTGGTGCAGATGGAGGTGCAGATGCAGGTGCAGATGAAGGATAAAGCTCTTGGCTGTGGTTAGGGTATACCCCTAGTAGAATTGGATTGGACATTGTGTATAGGAAGTATAGATAAAGCCCTAAGTTGGAACAGGAAAGGAGTATGGAGTGGATGTATTCAAGATAGGACTATAGACCAATGGGTCATAGAATGAAAAAAGTAGAGTTAAGTCGAGGCTTATTGAAGTGATTCAGATGATTTGAGGTGAACTGGAAGGAGCGAGAGGGATTTAATATACCAGGATGAGCAGCAAAGACAGGCAAATGAATTCCATAATTCCATATTCTACTGAAGATCAGCCAAGAATTTCCAAGACTATACGTTTGATAGTAAAAGAATATCCAAAAAGGGATTCTATACAACGTACTCCCTAGGCAAGGCAATGGAATCATCAACGGACCTACCAGCGGCGTCAACGGGCATGTTGGACCCATAATTTCCTCGAACTAAGAAAAATCCATAAGAATAGATCGATCCAGGATGGTCTCGGACGATTCCTCATACTCGATATGCGTCAGGGGGGGGGTGGGTGGCGGTTAATGCCTCTAGGGGTTCCGGAAACACAAAGGTCCACTGATCCACTGAGGATGTCTGGGCATCAAGTTAGGCGCATGTTGCGGATACAAAAACTTCGATGCCTAGGGGGGTGAAGTCAAGGGCGTGGGACTCTCTGCCAAGAGCATGAAGGAACCATTAGTGCGCAACGTCTTGTTTTTTTTTTCCCTGCGCCGCAATGGATATGACCTGGTCCTTGAGTGGAAGAGTACCAGTCTGATTGACAATCTACAAGATATAGTGTCAGTTCAACCTCACCTTGAATCAGAGACAAGTTACTCGGATGATGAATCTCAAACCCGATTTCGGGCCGATGTCCCTCGCCGCACCTTCTTCCGATAGGATATGAAGAGTATAGGGAAAGTCTAACAGGGATTCTGATGCGCGTCCAACGTGCCTGGACGCCAAAACGCCAAGAATGAAGATCGACAGTACATCGTTGACGGACCGCTGCCAAGCTTTAGCTCGGTGGCTGTGAAGCAGAGACAGGATTGGTGTAAATACTAGGTAACACCATTGCGTAGATGCAAGCACAACGCATAGAACAAGTTCTATAGAATGTACCAATACGCAATATGTTGTAGATCTCAAGGAGAAGTTGCGTCAAAAGTTCTAGGTGGAGTCGAAACGTTGACGTACACTCGGAATCCCTTGGCGTTTTCCCCTGAACTTCTCTCTTATCTTCACAGCCCCCGGCCAACAACACTATTGACAGGATTCTCGCCAAGAATTCATTATGACATGGATGCCCTGTCGATCAGTTGATCTTTCAAGGGGGGAACATTACTATTGGAAATTAGCCTTATCTTTGGTGCTTTTGCCAAGGTGGCCAGACATCGACGATGTCGTCTATTCTAAGGTCTATTGAGGCTATGAAAGCTAATGAATTCTGCCTACAGACAGAGTACTTCATCCAATCTGATTGAACTGAGATCCCACTGATCGCCCCGAAAGAAGGCTTACAGCAATACAATATATAAATAGCAACTTCATTCAAAGGAAAAGACACCAAGCCAAGATCATGCAGAACAAAAGGAAGATAATGCAATGCACCTCGACAAAGAATGACACATTCAAATTATGCAACAAAACGCCAGCTCCAAACATCTCCAGGGCAGCAATGCATGAAATCACAACAAGTTTATGCAGAAAACCAGAAACATAAAAGTCTGGGCAGATCCATCCCAAACCCAATCACATCATCGCATCTCACATCATGCGGTAGACCAGATCAGAGGCCAGCTCTGTCGTCAGGTCCAACAAAGCACGAAGACTCTTGGGGGAAGTGGACGTCTCAACCCGCTCCACCTTCGCATCCACAGGCCGCAAAGACGGTGTCGCCGAAACGGAATCGTCTGCCGAATGATACCGTGCCAATTCCTTCACGTTACACGCTGCATAGTGCACCACCAGTCGGCGCAACTCGTTCTCCCGAAGCTGTGTCGCGGACGTTGGCGAGATCGGCTCCAGCCGGGCTGTCTTGGTGTAGGCGTAGTGTACTAGCTCCAGTATCATCTGCGCCTTGGTTGCTGCCAAGCCGTCTAGAATTTGGGAGTCATCTTGATCGGCGGTCTCGAAGACTGCCGACGAGAGGGTAAGAAGATCACGATGCAGCTTTCGGAGGCAAAGCTGGGCGAGAGCGGGGATGAGGTACCGGGTGGCGAAGACGTAGACCTTCGCGTGGAATGTGATATAGGGTAGCTCGGTGCTTGGTGCCTCGACTGGGCTGGGCTTGGAGGTTACTGGCTCGTCATTGTACTGTAGGGATGTGAACTCGTCCCATAGGCTGAGGCCCGGCTCGCAGGGCGAGGAGACTTGATGTTGGGCAAAGGACATGTCGAGCATTGGTCTTTGACGCTGTGTTTGGGTGCTGCTTCTGTCTTGAGTCCAGGAATCTCCCATCGATCCTTCCACGGGTATAGGCTGTTCTTCTGCAGGCGCGGGTTCTTCGGCTGGCTGTTCCCATGACTCAGTCGGTTCTGATTCTGGTACTGGGGCAGGAGCCCGTTCTTCAACCGGCTCTGCTTCTGGCTCTGGGATACGTTCTGGGATAGGATCGGCAGCAACTTTTAGTGGTGGTGTTGATGGCGGCGTAAGGCTGACAGGTTCAGCTAGTGCAGGAAGTTCTTCTTCGACCAGTTCTGTTTGCTTTTTGCCCTTCTTCCCTTTCTTCCCCTTCTTTTCCTTCTTTTCCTTCTTGTTGTTTACCTTGACCTCTTCTGGCTCCCATGACATAGGTTCTTCGGCCGGAGCCGATTCACCCTCGACAGGAGGCACATCCTCAACTGGCTCTGGCGCAGCCTCCGCCTCGTGGTATGTTTCTGGCTCCGGCTCCGCTGCAGAGACTGGAGCTTCAGGCTCTGGAGTCGGCTCGACCTCAGGTTCTGGCGCATGGATTGGAGTAACCGGTTCCTTGACCTCGGCGGGCGCAGTCTCAGACACGGGCGCAGGTACTGGTGGCTCAGGCTCGGGCTCAAGCGCGGACTGATGCACTCCCTGTCCCCGATGGCGATACTGTGGAGGCGGCGACGGGGCCGGAGGTGGCACAGTTGACGCGATTGAACCAGACCGATAATGTTCTCTCCAGGTGGCGGTGCTCGGCGAGCTCTCGACTACTCCAACCCTGTGATCTTCTCGAACCTCCGGACGAGGCACCTTATAATCGCCGGTATATGCATACTCGCAGAAAGCGACAAAGGTTTCAACATCATCTTCTTCTAGAACGGCGATTCGGTGTTTCGACTCCCTCGTCGGACCGTTCATGAGATTATGGAGTGGTTTGGAGACATGTTGAGCGAGCCCCGACTGGATTGTCAGCTTCGTATGTCGTGGACCGACAAGGAAGGTAAATGATGGTGAGTGGATGATACTAGAGATGTTGAATTAGCGGTCTGCTAACATTGTCCCTATAACATAGGCTATACATACCTGGTAAAATCCGGGACAGACTCCATGAGAGCTAATTGATCTTCTGAAGTGTGAAATTATCTACGTTCTAAGATGCAGGGTAGGTCCCATTAAATATTTCACCGTGAATTCCTCAAGACACCGGAAGCGATCTCGGGCGAAGATAGTAGTCTGCTACGTGTGCAGCTGTGATGGGGGGCAGGACCCATTATGCTAACACTAGACCAGATGACTTTTAGATATGCGAAATGGGGCCAAAGGAATTTAGATGTTCTCGTGGTATATCTTCGCCCTACCTATACTCTCGATATCCTAATGGTTTCTCCCAATTCGAATGACTACCCACCTCATTTGAACCATTTGAATGCCATCCAGCTATCGCCGAGACAAAAAAAAAACAACGCAGAATAGCCATACAGAGCAGCCATACAGGACAGCTGGCGTTAACTGGATCCTGGATCGTCCAATTGTCGGGTGATGTTGGCGTCAGCAGGTTTGTGCCCAATCCCCAGCCTCGAGAAAACCCAATCTGTGGCCTCACTGGTTGATTTGCTCCTGGGAGCTCCATCTGTGAATTGGGAGCTTCACTTATTTTCTATTTTGATTTGTCTTGGGGATATCTTGAATATCTTGAATGTAGCGGTCAACGGCTGTACAACGGGGCCCTAAAAAGGTACCCGTACCTAATGAGGTATACCGAGGCTGGGACAACATTCAATGATATTTACAAAAATAGGCACTCTTCTGCTAGTTGAGTGTATTTCTTGCCCCTCTTTTCCTAAACACAACCTTATACTAAAAATCAACTCCATATAATTGGCATACAATATTCTCCCAATGTATAAGAGCAGCGTCTATCCAGATATATTCCCAAATCCAATAATACACAAAGAACCCACATATCAACTACTATGCATCAACCTAATCTCCGTATTCCCAGGCTCCCACTCCCTCAACCCTTCCCCAACGCTATACCAAAACCGCAAACGAATGCACTCCATCCTTGCAGCCTCCAAATCCCCCTTCTCAAGCGCCTCCCCAAGACTCTCCACACACCTCACAATCCTCCCCTCATTCTCCTTCTTCAGCGCATTGATTTGCGCCTCCGCCTCAGCAGACGCCCCAACCTCTTCAATGGTCTCCTGCACCTCCATAACCTCCATCAGCGTCTCGGCGTCAAGCGCATGCTTAGTCGACGCGTCTTCCGCCGTCACATCGATTCCGTGCCATTCCCGTAGAATGTACTGTGCACGCTGTAGCGGGTCCAGCAGTGTCCGGTACGCTTCGTTGATTCGTGCAGAGAGAGCCTCGGCTTGCTGCTTCTCCACTCCGTTGGGGTATTTGTCTGGGTGGACGAGGCCTTGTAGTTGGAGGAATTCGCGGCGAAGGTCACTGGTTGAGATTGCGAATGGGGAGGCCGGTGGTGGGCCTGCTGGTAGCGTTTGGGGGAAGATTGTGTAGTGGTTGGTGATGTCTGGCGCGCCGGCGAGGGTTGTTTTGGTTGTTTCTGTTGGTGAGGTTTCTGTTGAGGCAGAGCGGCGGTTTGTCATCGGTGTCTGTATCATAAGAGTTTGGCGTGTTGGGAGGGTAGCTAGTCCTCGCGCTGACTGGCGATATTGGCAGAGTATGCATGCATCTTGGCTGTTCGATACCGAGTAGGTTGGTCGCGAGAGAGGCCGTGGGATTGCTGTGCGACAGAGATTTGCAATTCTCTGCGAACGGAAAGCCATGACTAGGTAGTGTTTTACCAAGGTTATGGTCAAGGCAAGACCTGTATAACTTCAAAAGCCGATAAAAAGCCCTCGGCATACCGCTTTACGTCATCCCCGCATTTGGCACGTGACCAGGAACTATTTGATAGAGACTGAGAGGATATGAAGCTGGGTATTCGACAGATTTGATTCGACGAATCACAGCCTGTTCTTTCAGTTATATACAATTCGAGGCATACGAGAGACAATCCAAGAGCCAATGTATGAATTTGAATCATTCAATCCCCCAAAGCTTCACTGTACGATCGTGACCGCAGCTGGCAATCCACTTAGCATCGTCACTGATATCCGTGCTGAGAACGTTGCCCGAGTGGCCGCTCAGCGACTTCACGAGGGACCAGTCATCCGCACTGAAAATGTTGACACTCTTATCAAATCCACTACTCACAAAGAATGTGCCCGATTTCTTCGGCGAGGGCGCTTCTGCTTTATCAGCAGCTGGAGCGCCATCGATGTCCATCCCGCCATCTGTAGAAGGCAAGAATGAGGCAGCCTCTGCACCCTTGTACCAGCGGAGATCTGATATCACACTCTTATGCGCACCAATTCCACCCGGCTCCCTATTATTTCGCATGTCCCAGCATTTGACCCAGCCATCACCAGAACCAGAGAGCACCCGATAACCATCAACACCCCAGTCCATAGCGTAGATCTCACGAATGTGGCCCTGGAGGAGCATCACGTTTTTCCCTGTCCGTAGATCCCAGATACGTCCGATGCTGTCGAATCCACCAGTAGCCACGAGAGAACCATCGTTGTTAAACGACACTGCATATACCTCTCGTGAATGGCCTTCTTGTAGGAGCAGCTCGGTTGCCCTTTCGATATCCCACAACCTCCATGAGTTATCGAAAGACGCCGATGCTGCATATCGACCCGAAGGGTGGAACTCGGTACGGCATACACGCGCTGTGTGGCCAGATAACGTAACCAGCGGCTTTTCTTGATCAAGAGCCCAAAGATTGAGATCTCCTTCGCCGCCTCCAGAGATCAAATTGACAGTCGAGGGTGAGACATTCGAGCTAGGTAGAGTGGCACCGGGGAACCACGACAAACCACCCACTCGATCCGTATGGGCCTTGAAAGTCGCTTTTTCTTCCAGGTCGGGCACGCCGAGCAATTTGATCTCACCGCTCCAGTTTCCAGCAGCGATTGTCTGTCCATCCGGCGCAAATCGACAAATGCTAACCGGACGATCGCCAGCAATCTGAGATCCGTAAAGATCGAAACCTCGTAGCTTCTCCTTGACAGCTTTTCGATGCTTGACATGCGTTCGAAGTGTGATTGTTGATTCGTCCCTGAGCCGGGCCACTCGAGCCTTTGCGCGCGGCAAAGAATAGCACGCAATATCTTTCCGGGCCTCGAGTAAATCATGTCCGCCGTCTGTATAGAATTCTTCTTGTTGTTCCTCCCCCTCCTCTTCCGCTTCTTCCATTTCTACCTCGACTCCGCCTTGTGTCTCCGCCATGTCGGTCAACAGTTCACGTAGACGATCGCGTCGCTCTGATGGTCCTTCACCAAATAGCGTAATGGGTTCCCCGAGCTCTCGTAGTCGTACGCGCACTCGTGTGTCATCTGTTGGAACCACCATCGCTGCTGCTCTCCGTTTCCGCTCGAATTGCGATAGAATTGCGGAGGCCCGCTCAGTTGGGATACCCCCTGCGGTAGAGGGCATATCGTAGTCTTGTTCCATGGCTAATGTTTTATTAGTAGGCTGCAACCAAAAGTTGTTCGATAACGACTTACGAAGATCGGCATAGCTGATGCCCATGTCTGTGTCCTCCGTCTCCTCGACATAAGCTTGTCGCGATGGGTGCATCATTTTGGGTAACTTGGAAGCTTGTGCTTCTCTGGTAGCTTAGAGGACAAATTAAGAAGGCTTTGCGCTTGGGTAAAAAAAGGAATTGGGGTATCGCGTAGCGAAGAGAAAACAAAAAGGTTGGCGGGAGAAGATGTTGCAGGCGGCAGAATTGATAGAGGTTGGCGGTATAGCATTGAAGAGCGTACAAGCTGAGATCAGATCCAATTATGGTTGCATTTAACTACACGTATGAAGGATATTCGAATCCATTCTCTTGTTTTATCTTATTTTCTTCATATATAAAGTCCAACCCTGTGCAGTTTCGCCATTTCTGCCTGAGAAATCTGGTATCCACGAAAAATCAATGACGCCAGGCGGTCGGGCGATAAGGATCTTATCCGGTTGAGATTCATGCAGCTCCTTGATTTTGGGCTTTTTTAATTCTTTCTTTATACCTCTTTTTTTACTCTGTTCCTCTCGCTCGAAAATAGCCCATTCTCCAGGGATCTATACATAACCCCCAAGACTTGCGATGATCCCGCCAAGTCTTTCGTGTAGAGCCTGCAGTTCCGCCTGCAGTAGCCTACAAGCCATCGTTCGAGACGGTGTCTATTCGATCTCCACCAATCCGAACACATACACACCCTCACTGTTCAAAACTCAACATGTCCGCTTCTCATCCCACACCACAAGAGCCAGACTAGACACCCGTTTGAGCCTGAACCTAACCCGCCAACCCTCCCGCCGAGCCTTCCACGCAACCCCAACAACTAATTTCGAAAAACCCTCAAAACTCTCTTATCGTGTCGCCGTCTCCTCCTCCGGCAAAGGCCGTCGCTTCCACCCCATTAAAAATGCATACAATTTCGACCCCACCGGAGACGCTCTAGGCGTCTCAAAGGACAAGAACTCTGTCAGCCGCCGTCGCAACCGCCCAGACTCAGGCGAAGACGCCTTCTTCGTCTCCCGCATCGGAGACCGCATCTCAGACCACCAAGATACAAACGCCGAAGCTGTCGCTTTCGGCGTCGCAGATGGTGTAGGCGGCTGGACAGAATCCCGTGTCGACCCTGCAGATTTCTCACACGGCTTGTGTAACTACATGGCGCACACCGCGCAGACTTGGCACGAGCCCGCCGAGCGCTTGCGCCCCAAATACCTCCTGCAGGCCGGATATGACCAAGTCGTGGCAGATTCGACAATCCGCGCAGGTGGGAGTACGGCCTCTGTTGGCGTCGCGCTGCCGGATGGACGAGTCGAATTGGCCAATTTGGGTGATTCGGGCTCAGTGTTGTTGAGGAAAGCGGCGGTGCATCATTACTCAGTTCCGCAGACGCATGGCTTCAATACCCCGTTCCAGCTCAGCGTGATCCCACCCCGTATGCGCGCCCAGGCGTCTGTCTTTGGCGGGGCGTTTTTGGAGGATTTCCCCCGTGATGCGTCTGTTACCAATGTGCAGATGCAACATGGGGATGTGCTTATCATTGCTACCGATGGCGTTTTTGATAATCTCAACAATCAGGATATCCTCAAGCTCGTCACGAGTCGTATGGTCATGACTGGGGCCTGGACGGCTACCGAGTCTGGCGTTGGGGTTTCGGAGAACCTGCGTGCGCTGGCTGCGCCGGGTGGATTGGTTGATGCTCTTCCTACTCCAACGGGCTCGCCGCTTTCCAAAGACCCGGCTAATACCGAGTCCGGACCTGAGGATGGAGTCACGTTGCAGTCTGTTCTCGCGGCGACGATTGCCGGCGAGGCGAAAATTGCTAGTGTCGACTATCGCCGTGATGGGCCCTTTGCCAAGGAGGCTCAGCGCTACTACCCCGGTGACTATTACCGCGGCGGGAAAGTTGATGATATCTGCGTTGTGGTTGTCATCGCTATCGATGATACTGTTTCTGCGGATATTGCCTGATTTGGACAGGAAAGCTGGAGATTTCATATCGGCGTCATGCTTCCTTTTGTTTCCGAGCATGATGTATAACTGCATGCATATATAGAAGGCGTGGGGGTTTTTGATTTTGCAAAGAGGCACATAAGCATTTTATGCTCCCCCGATACCTTGACGACATTCAAATAGAGATTTTATAGAGATAACCGAACTGCATGGATTTCAACTTTTGGAGACTACATTGTTTATTAATTTACTGAACAACCATTATGGATCCTTGTATTCAAGAGCTCAATACATGCAGAGAAGAGATAGCCTCTTCATTGCCCTTGGGGACCTTTGTGTTCATTTCCATGTCATAACACAACTTTCCAATACTCTGGGGGCCCAATTCGGTGACCTTGATAGTCAGATCACTGAACTTCTGGGAAAGATCCAGACCCAGCTAACTCCAATGCTCCATGGCCACACAGATGTACAGAAGCTTAAAAAAGAACAATCACATTTTCAATTGATCCAAAGAAGCCTTGCTGGTTGGTCCAGCCCCGTATCCCATTGCATTGGCAGGTGACAAAAAAGAGAAAAAAAAGAAACAAACCGGCAGAACCGCGTGGATTGAAACAGAGACAAAGAAGAGAACATGAATGAGAGCGCAAATGGATAAAAAGAAAAACAGACATCGCAGAGTCGTGATTCTTAGACCACTTAAGCAGCAGCCTCGGACTTCTCCTCGGTCTTCTCCTCGGTGGGCTCCTCAACTGCCTTCTCCTCCTCGGGCTTTTCTTCCGTCTCAGGCTCAGGGGCCTTCTCATCCGCATCGGGCATTGGGGAATCAACATCCTTAGTCGATTTGGATTCGGGTTCCTTTTCTTCTTCTGTCTCCAGCTTGGGGGTTTCGGCGCCATCCTCCTCCTTGGAGCCGTTGGCGGCGGGCTTCTCATCCTTGTCCGCCGGGCCGGGAGTGTCCGCGTCCAAAATGTTCTTCCAGCTAGACAAAATGTTCATGGCACGGTGACGGAAGTTGAACTCCTCATCCCGGGGAATCGAGTTGAGCTTGACAATCATCTTTAGGACCTTGTTAATCTTGGTCGAACGGATGATCGACACCTCCAAGTCCGAGTGCTTCTCCAACTTGTCAAAGTAGCTGGCCATATTGGCCATTTCATCTTCCTTGGGGGGTTGGTCACGGGAGATGAAACCTTTCTGGAGCTTGTGACGGAGGAACAAAACTGTAAGGTATAAGCTGGCCTGATCGAACTCATCGGGGGAGAAGGGGGTTCGCGTACTCTCTTTCTCCTTTTTCTTTCTAAGCTCCTCTGGGTCAATGGGCTTTTCGGATTCCTTAGCATCAGCACTGTCTCCTTCCTCGCTAGCAGCGGGAGCAGCCTTGCCCTTCTTGGCGGGTGCCTTCTTGGCCTTGCTGGCTGGGGTCTTCTTTTCCTCGGCGGGAGCCTTGGGGGTGGTCAACTTCAGCTTTGTGTTGGACTTGGGAGTCTTAGCGGGCTGTAATTTTGTGAGATGAGCTTGATCAACATCAAAATGATCCTGTAACACATACCTTTTCAGCTTCGGCATCGGTCTCAGCATCCTTCTTGCGCTTCTTAGAAGGAGCTTTGGACTTCTTGGAGTCATCCGCGTCCTCCATTTCAATGTCAGTCTCAGCGCCCTTACTCTTGCGCTTGCCCTTCTTGGCCTCCTTTGCGGCCTTGGCAGCTGCTTTCTCCGCTTCCTGGGCTTCAAATTCAGCCTCTTCCTGGTCAATAGCTGCCTGGTGGTCGTTCAGGAGCTTCTTGAAGTACTGGAGGTTATGGCCCTCGGATGCAACCTTGTAGGCATTGATGAGTGATTTAGTTTTATTCTTCTCGGAGATGTTTTTGCACTCGGCAGGGTCGAGGGGAGTCAAATTGGTATTGGGAACCCAAGCGCTGTCAAAAGATAGTCAGTAGGAAGTTCGCGTCTGGTGTAGAGGCCGCGCGGATGTCGACTCACAATTCATTGGTCTCGAAGAACATAACAGGGAAGGTACGCTCGTGGGCGCGTCTGCCGCCGTCACCATAGTCGCCTTTGTAGGATCCGTCCTTTTGCATGGCGGTAACGGGACGAGTTTCAAGCAGGCTGGGAGGCAGAATACTCTCGTCACAGATGATGGCAGGCCAGGGCGCATAACTGCGCAGGCGGGCAAGGTAAGTTTGGCCCGGCTTAGCATCCAGGTGGGTGATACGGCTCTGGGATTTCTTGCGGCTCAGCTTCTGGGTGGCACCGGTGGAGGTGCGGCGGTTCTTGGGGGACTTTTTCGCAGAGGCAGGGGTTCCGTTGGCCTCCGCGGGCGCAGCAGCTTCTGCGTCGGCAGGTGCAGCTTCGGCAGTTTCGCCACCGGCCTTGGCCTCAGGGGCTTCGTCAGAGGAAGCAGGCTTATCAGCCTCAGCTTCAGCGTCCGTCTTCTTGTCGGTCGCAGCTTCAGGCTCTGGAAGAGACAGTGGGTTAGTGTCGCACAGAAACAGGATGCCCCGACCGGGGAACAACGTGGAGATATGGAGGCGCAAAACGATGGATCGATATCAATTAATCCATGCTTACCGGCAGGCTTCTCTTGCGATACAGTCACATCCTCAGACTTCTTCTCGGAGTCGGGATTCTCAGCAACGCGCTCAGGCTGATCGCCCTCGGGGGCAGAGACAGGGGTATCGTCAGCCATAATGGCAAGCTGGGATGGGATAAGTTAGAATTCACTAAGCGATTGCTAGATTGAAGCTGGGATAGGTGGTGGAGGAGCTTCCAGGGGATGGTAGGAGATGTGGAGAAGAGAGAGAGAGAGAGTCGCGAAAGGCGCGGGAACTTCAAAGACGCGTCTGAGAACGGACAACCCAATGACGCCACACCTTTTCTTCACCCACAACAAGAGTTGATGAATTGGAGCTCGTTTGTTTCGCTCTTTGGATTTGAACTCCCTGAAGAGGATTTGGGCAAGGCAGGGGGTTGCACAATGCACAGGGTCTCTGAATACGTACCTGAAGTGTATCACAATAGGCGAGGTGACGGGAAGATTCAATTGCTCATTCAAGTGGAATATGATCAACTCCTAGGCGTGAAGAGGAAGTGTGGTCGGTGGTGGGATGGCCTGGGATAGGCAGATGAGATATAAAGCGAAGGAACGACTGAGAGTCTGATGTCTTTTGATATCTTGCTGGCAGATAGGTACATAGCAAAAGAATCCATAGACCTGTCCAGGACTTTCTCGCTGTATGCCTTCACAATATACGCACAAAAGCAATTGCCAATTAGGATTGGCAACTTGGTGATTTGACGGTATATTGTCTTTGAATATCGCCCAGCTTCTCATTCATTCACAGATGGCATATGATACCTCTGGTATATGATACCGTGAAGTGCCAAGAGACGTGTATACCTCGAATCACGATAGTTACGATATTCACGATATTCGGGGCATGGCTGGACACGTGCGGATGAACCTGGCATTCGTCAGAGATGATTTCAACTGCGAATTTGATTCAAACCAGGTGAAAAAGTGACGTGTTCCTTTTCCTATTGCCACATCGTAAAGCTCGAGGCTCAGGAAGATTGCGACCTTTGTGCATACCTCGACATGACCTTACATTAATCACTCGTGTCGGACATCGGCGACGTCGCCGGCGATCACGTTTCAATGTGATTTAGCACATTTATATTGGATGGGCTGGTGATTAGTACTGGGGGCGAATCCGAGGGACAAATGGAATAAATCAAAACGGGGGTTCTTGTTCAACGCATCTAAACTTCTGTTGTAAGCGCAATGTCCAGCTCTGAGTCTTTCTAGGGGGGTTTTATATTTTGGATCTGAAAGGAATATATGAAGTTTGCCTAATGCGATATTTGTACAAATAGAACTGACGGTAAATCGCCAAAGGCTTTGTTTCAGCTCCCTTGTATCTACAGCTCTGGCCAAATCAGAAATCAAACCTCTACTCTTTTATGATAATACGTGTAGCTCTTAATAATACATATGATCACAGTAAGCTCGAAAGTCTACGGTGCGACACTAAGAGCAAAATCGAAGGACTCTGAGTTCTAGGATAGGGATATAAGAAATGGTAATCAAGGCATCAAATATTATCTATACATAAAGAATCCCGTGTACCCACCAAGCATCCAAAATGATTTGAACTGATACAGGATATATATCGAGATCAAGTCTAATAAGTGACCAGGGTCAGAAGTGCATAGTTTCGAGCACGTATCGGCATTTACGCCGCTGGTCCACCCGGCTAGCCTTAACAAAGCCCACTTGATACCAAACGAGAACTGCCAGTCTTGAATATCCTCAGCCCATAGGCCTGGGACGGGCTCAGAACTGGAGGATGACATAGGAGAGAGCTTATGGTCCGAGTCGGTATCAGACTCGGCGTCGGCTTCTGAATTGGTTCCGGATGTAATAGAGCAATTGCTCTGCTTCTTTGTGCTTTGAGTTAGATATTGAGCGGAGGTTGAAGAGCTTCACAAATACCCGCACTCGAGTGTGGAGAGGATGACTGGATTCCCGGCTTGCAGATGACATCTTGAGTGTCATTTCGACGCGTTGGCCCCATATTTTGAAACGAAGCTTATTGGCCTCACATCGAGCTGCTAGCGAGCACGACTCGTTGCTGAAGTCCGTCCAAGAGTTGAACCTCTCCAGAACGTCCAAGCAAGAGCTGAAGAGCCCCGTCAGTCCTAGAATTCCAACAGGTTCCATTTTGTCTTTGCCTTTGATAGTACTTCCCAGGGTATTGTATTAACTGTAATATTGTAAAAAAAAACTGCTACAATTAGATTTTATCTCAACCCCAGCACTGCCTGATGGGTTTGTGTTGGCATTACATGCAACTTTCATGATTGCCATCTCAATAGACCACTAAGCCTGTCAGACTGTCAGACTGTTGGAAGATTAGATATTCTGAGCACCGCCGCGGATACCGGGGTAATTTCCTCAGGTCTACTCCCGTCGTATTCTCGCTGACGTGGTCACTAGGCTGTGTGAATTCGGGTGATCTTCTTCTTCCTGTTGGTTACTGCACAGCTGCGCCATGGAGACAAAGATAATCTCGGGGAGCCGCAACTTGAAGCGGCATGACCGTCAACATCATTACAGAGACTTTTCTTGGATACTTTTTCAGATACTTGTCTTTCAGGTCTTGGAAAATAAAAGGGTTCTTGCATAAAAATATATGGCTTAGGTATAGAGGGAGACACCAGGCGACGCGTTGACAGAGAGGTAACAATAGGAGGTCCATATACACAGATTATAAACCAGAGGGCTGGTTGGGTTTCATACAGGGTATTAAATTCTAAAAGACGCTGAATCCAAAGTCGAATCATGAAATGCCAAACCTTGGTAAGAGGAGTGGACTCAGATGCCATGTGCTGAAGCACTTTCACTCGCGTGGTCTTCTTCAGTGACATCAAGAAGTGAGGGTTCCGGTTTATGAATCTGGACAAGGCAAAGGAAGTAGTCTTCCAGTGGCAAGAGATTGAGCAGCACTCTATTAAAATACCACCCCAAGACACATACCACAGCTCCCGCAACAGCATCGAGAATGAAATGGTTGGCTGTGGCAACAATGGCCACCAGGATGGTGAACGGATATAGGAAGCCAAGTATGACGCAAGCAAGGCGGCGCCACGATGGGAGTTCCAGTCTTAGGGCACGGGTCAGCCTAGTACGCAGGATTGTGCGCCGGTGGTGCTGTGGCAGAGGGATTATTATCAATGTGAGGCCGATCATTAGAGAATAGCCGAAATGCAAGGAAGGCATTGCCGCTTGGTAAGAGTCAGTCAAGGACCTATGACGAGCATTCGGGTCAGACAACACTTACCATATTGATTACAGAAGCGGTTTTCCGTCCAAACACTGCCCGATCCATTAATACCATGCACCGTGTCCACGAACCCATAACTGCGAGCTAAATCCGCGTCTTGGCCATCAGCGGTTGTGTCACTCAGTAGCCGAGGCGGCATGCAAGGCCAAAGAGTGAAAACCACAAATGCGAGAAGATTGCACACGGCCAAAGTCCGCCGGCGCGCCTGATATAAAAGAGGACCTGCAGGTGAACCGCTCATAGCACCCTTAGGTTTTCCGGGCTGGGCCTCATCGATCCGATTCCGCACGGTAGTATAGTAATAGAGCCAGACGAGGAACGCGATGGTTCCGGGGATGTGTATAAAGGAGTATATCCGATTGATCCAGGACATAACAAGGGGGCGGCGAAGGTAGTGTCTTTGAATCAAGGTTTCCCAGAACATACCCAGTCTCTCCTCGATCACGATCAGTTGCAATGCATGTCTCCTCGCAACATCGACGGTGTCATCCTTAAGAGTCACAGCGGTAAAAGCGCGACCGAGCTGATACGTCTGCATAGATTGTGAGCTTCCCCCTCTTGAAAATATTGACACAGAATCACAGGTAGTAGAGAGTGGGTACCCCATAAACAATAAGTAAATAAGAAATCAACATACCCAGTAAACCAAAGCCCAATACCAACATTCCACCAAAAAAGGAAACTTTCGGAGCAATCGACTGAGCAAGCGGTCTTGGAACACGATAGTATTCGGCGATGACACCTCAAAGGTCAAGCCTAGGAGTCCAACCTGTCGCTTGTGCCATCGATCTTCCGCTTGTGGTGAGTGGGACCGAGAGCCCAGTAAGTCCTTTGTCGATTGGCTTGAGTATCCCGACTCCAAAGAATCAGATGAGACTCGTCGAAGGTTTGAGTTCCGTCGAGTATTGTACCGAGTCGAGGAATCGACAGAGCGGTTAATCCAGGTACCTCCAAACAAGAGAACAATCACCACCAGAGGTTCTATAACCACCCCAGCTCCCATTATGGATATCAACCAAAGGAACCAGTACGGTTTTTTTTTGTTTTTTTTTTTTTTTTCAAATAGAAAATGGAAGAAAAAGATGCTCTGATAGTCTATCAGAAAGTATAGGAATGATGAATATGTACCTGAGAGGGGCGGATATGGCCTTTTTGATCAAAATAATGCCCAAGGCAGGTGCTGGGCAGGCAAGGGCGGATGTCACCGGAATCAACTGCATAAATCTCCTCTTCTTTGCTTTTCGACTGGCCAATATTATACGATCTTTCGAATGTACATGTGATCTCTTACCATATTGGCATATAATCAATGCCCAAGGCATAATTTGTAACTGGTATCCAGTACTTGTGTTATAGTTGGGGATGTCTCTATAGAAGAGGTACACAGTACTTCCAGGTCCTCACCGATCTCCGAAACGCCCTTCGCTTTATGGAGGTTCCGGTATCCGAGCCGCTAGTCCTAGTATAGTACTATGTATATTATATGCCTATTTCTCTAGTTCTATAGTTCAAGTACCTGGGGAAATTGCAAGGAATAACTTTGGAATATAATCTCACAAATGATGCAACACATACGGTGTGCTACGTAATACAGCTTGACCTCGATGAAGTGTATTTGACGTCAATCCTTCAATATATATATATACATATATATATATAATTTGGATGTGAATAGGTCGGCTCAACCGCTTCAGCAACTTCTTAAATATGGTACTCATAAATCCACCTACAACCGGGCGTGTAATCAGCCGCACCTCGCATGCCATTGCTTTGTCGACATCCAGACGCTTTTCTACCACGCCGAACATATACCAAGAACTCACTCTTCTACAAGACAAGCAAAATGGGTTTGGATTCGCGCGGTCAAACCCCAGACCTGCCAAGCCTAGAACGAAGGGAGTCACTGAGATCCGAGGCCCATACTACTCAGTAAGTGTCATATCATCCTTCCAGCGTTTTCTATAAAGCTAACCAAAACCAGGTCATGGGCAAAAGATATCTCGCAGATATCCTCGAGACGTAATATTCCACAATGACCCAAACTAATTCACCAAATGGCATCTGACAGCAACTGATAGGATGGGCGACCATGTAGATGGTCTCAAGTTTGCCGGAGGTGAGCCCCAACAAGGCTTCTATCCTGCCAGAAGCGACAGTGTTGAGACAAACTAGGTGCTTTTTCCCTCTTTCACGAGAAATCACTGCGGGGATTGGTCGATCTTGCCCATGAACACGGTGTGTACATCTCGACGGTAAGACTGTTTTGGACCAACACAGCCTATTTGAAAACATACTCTTGACACTAGGTTCCATGTCTCAGGGTGGATGGGCCGAGTACCTCCTCACACATCCCGACCCAAACACGGTATTTGACCGCTACTTGAAGAAATGCAAGGATCTCGGGTAGGTGCAACCCCAGCCCCAGGCCCAGGAGGCTGGAATATAAAATCTGACTAGTCAACATAGACTTGACGTCGTTGAATTGTCTTCTGGTTTTCTGTCAATCCCAGCGGATGACTGGCTCCGTCTTATTGATAAAGTCCACTCATACAAGTTGGAACCAAAGCCTGAGTTGGGGATTCAATTTGGGGCCGGCGGGGATACACCAGCGTCAGGACTTGAAGCGATTGGGACCTCTGATCCTGGAAAATTGATAAATTTGGGTCGTAGGTTCCTTGACGCTGGGGTGAAGCGGTTGATGATTGAGTCAGAAGGTATTACTGAAAATGTTAGCTCCTGGAGGACTGATGTGGTGTCGAAGATCATGAAAGAGCTTCCTCCGGAGCGTGTTATGTTTGAGGCAGCAGATCCCAAGGTCTTTAATTGGTACGTTCGTGAATTTGGTATTGATGTCAACCTGTTTGTGGACCATAGCCAGATTGTGCAGCTAGAATGCCTGCGGACTGGCATCTGGGGCACTGCCGACACATGGGGCAAGATAGTGTCGTTCCGACCATGAACTTCGGGGGGTGGGGTTTGAACTTGAAGTACATTTATTCTTGCTATATCAATTTCTTTATCCGTTCGAGATTTTGAACCCATGTCCATAAACAGCTCGGGAGGTGCCCATCTGAGGAGGGTCCCGGGTTCCAGCTGAGCGGGACTAGAAAAACTGCTTACTAATTTCTAGTCCCAGGGGCCCGGAGGGTCCACGGGTCCACGGGTGGGATGATCCCGCTTAGTCATCTAATGGAGTCCGGGGAATGCAAACGCCCGCACTTCGCGATCTTCAACATTAGATTAAGCCTCAGCAATGACTTGAACCAATCCAAACAGCTCCCGGCTCGGTCGGTTCAGATACTCCACGCCTCGATGATTACCGCCGAAACTCCAGACGAGTGATCCGACCTATTCACTAAACGAGCGCGGCGATCGGGATGCCTCGGGCTAGCACTACCCCGGGAGCACGGCTTCGTTGCCGACGAGCATGCGATAGCTGTAAAAGGCGAAAACAGAAATGCAACGGTGAACAACCATGTACAATCTGTGTTCAGAGGCACAAGGGGTCGGAATGCCATTTCTCGGATCGGCCCGCACGCCTACTCAAGCCAGACCCCAAGGACTCGACAATGTTGCTCAGCGAGCGCGTAATAGCAACTCCGCAGCGGGAAACGGCAATGGATCGCCTTTTGAACTCTCTCGAAGATCAAGGAATGAATATGGAACGCCAGGAAAAAGATGAGAAGGAAGGGACGGCTCCCGTGCCAAAAGTGGCGCGGCTTCTGCGCGACGGCCAGGGAAAGTTTATGTATATCGGTGATTCGGCGAGTTTGTCATTTTTACAGAGCCTGCGCCGTGTTGTTACGTCTTCCATTGGCCGGTGTGAGTTCACCGAGGACAACTCGCGACATTCGATGCTCGAGGCCTTTCAGAGCAACTCAAGCACTCAGCCCGGAGCTCTAGTTACACCACCAAGCAACGACGAAGCCCAGCGACTGGCTCGTCAGTTTGTGCTTGCTACAAGCCCGTTGCTAGACTTGTTCGACTTGGAGGAGTTCCACCCACGACTAGCTAATTGGGTTGCGAACCCATCCGGTGACGAAGATACCGTTAGCTCTATCTTCTATCTTGTCCTTGCCATTGGAGCTCAGGTTTCAGATATTGATCAGACGGTAGCTGAACAATATTTTAGCAGCGGTCGTCAATTAGCGTTCTTAGCCTTTCAGGAAACCCCCAGCATACACACCATTCAATCATATATTTTGGTTTCCATGTATATGCTCGGCGCATGCAGGCGCAATGGTGCATTTATGAATCTGGGGGTTGCGTTACGTGCTGCCTATGCGGTAGGAATCCACCGCAAGGATGCAAATGCGCTCTTCTGTGGGCGTGAGCGTCGAGCGAGGGAGCGAGTCTGGAAGAGTCTCCGGATGATGGATCTATTCCTTAGCGCCTCCCTAGGACGCCCTCCCGCAACCACAGACTATGACTATGACATACGTGAAGATACTCTTATATCGGGAGGGCCACAACCCCATTTGACCGCAGATCAACAACTTTCTGCTGCGGTGATCTCGCTTTGTCGAATATTCGAACGGATCTTGACCGATGTCTACATGAAGCAAGTCATATCGATCAATGTTGCAGAGAAGATCTCCAACCAGCATCGGGCTTGGGTTCGCACTCTGCCAACAATTCTCAAAATGCAGACTGAGCAGCTCGAAAACAAGTCGATGGAAAATAGCCTAGCTGCAGCTCATGTGTTCGGGTCATATTACTGGTCGATCATCCTCTTGACACGGCCGTTCCTCATATATCGTGTCGCCCAATATGTCAAAGGCAAAACCGACCCAACTTCCGAGAATCGAAACGGTAGCTCCCGAGTATCCTTGTTTGCCGATGCATGTGTCTATTCCGCACTCCGAGGTCTAGACGTGGTGGATGGCCTCAGCCATTACACCTCCCTTCCACGTCGACTACCCTTTTTAATCAACTCCGTTTTTAACTCTGTCATCGTCCTCGGGGCCGCGTTCTTCGCCGACTACGATAATCTCCTCCCCTTGGAAGAAGGAATGAACAAAGCCGAACGGTTCCTAGGGCTATTTGTCCCGCACGATCCACACGCATGTCGTTTCTTCCAGATAATCAAATACCTCCGCGCTGCTATAGCCGAATACGTTTCCCAACGAAATCGACAATGGATGAACAGGCGTAGCAAACAGGTTGACCAGCTCTTTGGCCAAGTAGGCGGAGACGAGGATCGCAACTCCCCAGGAGTTCCACCTTTCACTGGCCCAGGTGATATTCACTCACCTGCAACTGCAACTGCACTATCCCCTACCTCCCCTGACACAATTCCCGCTGGAACTTCATCCTCCTACATCCCCTCCCAACCACCCGCTCAACCCCAATTTTCAACCGACAACGATGTTTGGGAAGCCCTGTGCAATGGCTCAGACCCCACTGCAACCCTGTCCTACGATGCAGCCATTTCCGCGTTAACCACCTCGGGTATCCCGGTGGGCTGCTCTCCTGGCGGGACTATTCCTTCCGGTCCGCCCCCGGTTTCCGGCCCATCTCCGCTTTCTGATGTCATGTTCCCCGATAATGGACTATTGTACATGGCCGAGGATTTTCCGGTCTTTGGCACCTGGGGGGATGAGCCGTGATTACCCAGTCCCGTGTGTTTCAAAGGTTAAAGATATGATGGAAAGTGGGTGTGCTGGCGTAGATCTGTTATTGTGAGGGTGTTGGCTCCCCATGTAATTCTTTGTTCGTATGATTGGACGTGTTCATTGAGATATATACCCCCAAGGGCAAATCGATTTTTAAGGGACAAATGCCAAGATGAAGGTTCTAGAGAAGGCTAGATTGTGAGTGAAGAATTGAGGCTACTGACCAAGAAACTGGATTAAACTGGGGATAATTTGAGGCATGACTATGAAGACACTGCAAGGAAACGCTACAAGTTCGAAATGCAAAGTCTTGGCAGAGGTCTATCATTAACTAATTAGGGGAAATGATACCCTGGGCGGTCTGGGTTCTTCTCTCCTACACATCTTACACAAGGGTGTTTATTCTTACTTTCTTTTCTCCTTTTCCAGTTAGAATAATACTATGGGTGTCCCATCTAGTAGAGGGTGTGAATCTTGCCGAAAGTCGAAAAAGAAGGTCTGTGCCTCCCGTCGGGGAAATGGACAATGCTGATCAACATAAAGTGTGATCAACGACAACCCTCCTCACGATGCATCCGGATGGAGTTACCCTGTGAAGGAGGTGGGAAACAGCGTTATCAATTCAAGTCCGTCCGAGTGATACCCAAAGTCAAAGAGCAAGTTCGATGGAATTTGAATTTCATTTCCAAAGCCCCTTGCAATCAACTAGCCACTCGGTTCATCAGTGCTCTCAATATTAGCGATATTCGCTTCGATATCTCGTTTCATGGCTTGTTTCTCAAGGATATTCCTAGACGACTCGGAGAAAGTGCGGTGTTGGATGCAGCCGCCCAGGCTTTGGTCTCTTCACACCCCCTTCTGCATCCTCTTCGTAATAAAGAAGTTCCCCGTGATGCGTTGGTGCTATTTGGGAAATCCTTGAGGGCATTACGCGAATGTCTAGATAATCCAGTGGAGGTTCGATCGCCGCATACCCTTTGTGCTGTTTATCTCATCTCAATCTGTTAGGTATGATACTATCCAAGCCTCTTCGGCCTTCAATGCTAAGCCCAATGATCCTAGGCCTGGCTTGGAAAGTACAAAGACCAATCAGCCAGCCATGGGACAGCCATCGCACATTTACTCAGGATTGTAGACGTCCGCAGATACAAAAGTGGATTCGAAAGAGACTTGATCGTCACATTGAGTGTGCCGGTGGTATGTGACACTCAGAACCTCCCGACTTCACTAATTCTGTCAGTTTCTGGGACAACGTGATGGCTCTCATCCAGGAAGGCTCCGCCACTGCCCCGGATGGCATTCCACGACCAACCACGACTCTACTGTCGCTTTCAAAGTCCCCAAAATACCTCCATCACCCACACTCCCATTTTCCCGAGATCGCCAAAGCATATATGAGACTTCGAGAAGACGCACAGAATATCTATCCGTATCTAGTCCAGCTTACTGAACCAGCCAGCCTGTCCTCCCCGACCCTTGGTCAACGATCGCGCCATCGAGCAGCATACACCGTGATCACTGCTTTGGCACTTTTTCTAAACACTATTCTCCGTACATTGGATTCAGAAAACGTCATGCTCGCCCAGGAGTCGACCTTCTTTTGCGAGCAAATCATCAACGAGGCTAAGTTGGCTTCCAGTTACCGTCCGCTTGGTGCTGCTTATGTTGTGCCGTGTCTGGTCGTGGCATTGGGTACTGCAGAAGATCCACAGCAGATGGCCCGCATCAAGGCCACATTGACCGATTACCAGACTGACTTTCATGGATTTGAATGGAGGGAACTTGCTACGTGGCTCAGGGCTGTATTTCACAGCCACCGCGCACGGGAACCCCTGGTATCAAGCAATGTAGATCTCTTAGCTTTTGAGGTTCAAGGAGCTTGCATGACGCAGCTGCAGGCTATATTCGGACTGTGTCTATATTCGGACTGTAATAAAATCAAACCCCTCTGACTCGGATCGCTGATACTTTGTGCATCTTCCATTCGACCGCTAAATCACACATACTTGATGTGAGGCTGAGGGCAAGAGAGAAAGGAAATGGCCGTGTTTTGAGTCATGATATACCTCCATTCATGTTCACACTACTTATAAGAGTTTGATCTGGGTAGTGCCTAGACAGGTTTATTGCATGGAGTAGACTACCAAAATGCCGACAACTCCATGGATTATGTATGAGCTGGCAAGAGAGAGAACAAGAGCAAAAAAAAGCAGCCATCCAAACAAAAGAAAAGTGAAAAAGAGAGGGCATTCATACAATAAGCATCACCATGAACAGATTTATATGACAGTAACCTAGAGACAATGAAAAATGCGGGATATGAAAGGCCTAATCAGATCTGTCACAGAGCACAGTAAAGGAATATGGATAGCTCGCTAAGTGTGGGTGGGGTTTTGCAATGGGAAATAAAGAGGATTCGTGGCATGAGCTTCGATACGCGCTGCGTCAAAACGGGACCAGGGTCATGATATGTACACGTGTCGATTCCAAGGGCACTGCACTGGTTCGAAGGGGCAAGCTGCGATATGTGAAAAGAACATCCTAGTCTCAGAGCAAAACTTCAGGGCAACATAAGGGGAATTGCCAGGAAACCGAGATTATATACGCCAGTCTAGTATGGGCGAATACAGAAGCATATTAGAAGCCGAAGGGGTTATTGGGGGCTGTTGATCGAGTTAGTTTCTGTTACTTATATCACCTGTAAGGGTAAGAAAACACTCACTGGCTTGCGAAAGGTTGGCTCTGAGTCCAGTCGGTTGTGGCTCAAGCTTCTTGGGGCCGTCTGGCTTGACACCAAATCTGATAGAGGGAGGCGGTCCGGTCTTCTGTGGCGACAAGGGAGTGGCCGTTGGTTGCTGGGGAATTGGCGGCACAGGGGGCGGAGATGTGTAGGACTGGTTACCGTAGCCATTGATACCAGTGGGTTGCGGTTGCAATGCAGGAGGAAGGACAGAGTTGACACCAGTCTGCATTGGTTGTTGATGTTGTCCATATCCACCAAAGCCTGTGGGCTGAGGCCCAAGTCCCTGGAACCCAGTTTGTTGAGGGGCCATCTGGTTACCATACGGCTGTTGCTGCTGTTGCTGCTGTTGAATACCGAATTGGGACTGGGGAGTAAACGCTGTGGGCTGTGGCATTAAGCCGTTCTGATATGGGGCTTGACCCATAAATCCTGTCGCCTGCGGCTGCATCGCAGCTTGATAACGCTGCTGGTTCATTTCGCTCAAATTCTGGCCGGGAGGAGCAACCGGAGGGCCCGCCTGGGGAAGGCCCGTCAGTTGAGCTTGCAATGGAGGAGGACCAAAGGCGTTTTGCTGTTGCGAGAAGTTCTGAGGCGCGGACAGTGGGCGTTGCGGAGGTGGAGGCAGAAGTGAATTTTGTCCAACTGCCTGAGGTGCCTGAGGACGTTGCCTGGCCTGTGCTTGGAACCCGGTCTGCTGAGGGCTGAAACCTTGTTGATGCTGTCCTATCTGTGCCACTTGGGCAAACAAGCTGGGAGTGGCACCTGTTTGCTGAGCCTGTTGTACAGGTGGTGATTGCACGGCAGTGGCCTGCGGCTGTAGGGCAGGCATGGGCGAGGCAGGCTGTGCAGTAGGCTGAGCTGGTGTCGGCTGCAAAGGAGTTTGGAGCAAGGTCAGATCCGCCATTGCCCCTGTTGGCTGAGGAGCCTGGGCTGCCGCGGGCGGTGGAGTCGGGGTGGCTGCAGATGGCCGAGCAGGCTGCTTCGGCTGCTTCACCTCCCAAGCATCATCTTCAAATCCGGTTGCAGCAGGCTTTTCAGCTGCCGCAGGGGGTGGTGGGCTCGCTGAGCTATCTGGTGATTTGGGTTCGCCTCCCTGGCCGAACGCTTTGGGATCAACCTCTCCGGCTTGGACGTTTGGTGTTGGTCTGCCTCTGCGAGTGTTGTTGCGCAGCATACCACCAGGCCCGGAAAACAGACCACCTTGCCCTCCGTCCTCGCCATTGCCAATGACTTCCTCGCCGCCGAAACTGACGTTTCGAGGCTTGGACTTGTCCGGTGTACGGCCATATTTGGCATCCAAAACCTTCATCACTCGCAAAGTATCACCCAGGTTTAGACCCAAATTCTGAAGCATCTCAGATGTGATGTCAGGTAGTACAGATTCGTCTATCGCATCCTTGTTGAAGGACTGTGCATATCGCTCACAGCGATGTGGGCCAACACCAGCCTTAAGGAAGAAGTCAAACCAATCATAATCGGAACGTTGCACAGAAGCCCCAGACTTGGAAGCCCCAGATTTGGAATCCTTGTTAATCGCAGCTCGAGGTCGGATGCTTGAAAGAGGTTTGTCCTCATCCAGTGAGACGCCGGCGACCTTCTCCACATGCTCGAGATCCTCGACAGACATCTTCGAGACAGGGACGGCAATCTTGATACCGTTCACCTTGTGAAGCTGGATTTTACCATCCTGGAGACCTATAAATTGGGCTTCCACTGTGAAGTCCTTGGTCCGATCCGTCCACTTTCGTACTTTAGTTGGATCAGGCTTCGACTTTATTTTGCTGTCGCGCTTGCTGTGACGGTCCGATGAATCCATTGAGTCCGTCCGTGACTTGCCCGTCGCAAGTTTGGACAGCCGCATCTCCTCCATTCGGTTCTTCTCCACAGTCGACAGGCCTGGTTCGTTGGGCATTAACGGCGCCTTTGGTATCAATCCTGTGACTTCAACGTAGCTGCTGGGGACAACACCCTCCTTGTTGTTCTTCAATCGCCGCACCATCCACCACTCTTCGGATTTAGTATCATCAAGGACGATGACCTCGTCACCCACAGCTACTGTAACTTCATCATCGCCTTGCGCCATAAAGTCATACAAGATCTGGCCCTTCTTTGGACCTCCGCCTTCTCCTGCCTCGAGCACCTCACGCAATCCTTCTGCCCGGTAGGCACCAGCAATCTCACCGAGTGCCGCGGCAATCTCGTGGGCAGTGTCTTTCGCGCCTGCATGGAAATCGATGCTCTTGCTAGGCTTGATAAGATCAACAAAGACGTGCTTTCCTTCGATCGAGTAATGAGTGAGCTTCTCCGCACTCCATTCTTTCTGCCGATCATCACCTTCAGGAGAAATGAAGATGATTCCAGTAGCCATGTTGATTCCCAATGTAGTCGGCATCTTCTTTCTCTTGCCCATAACTTCAACCATCTCATTGATGTTGTAGATATGATAGCCGGAAGGTGACCGAGGCGTCAACTCACCTGCCCGGTTGTAAGGGGGAGATGCTTTGACATGTGTCCCATCACGACCCGTAACAGGCGCCGCCTGCTGAGGACGGGGTGGCGGACTTGGGTCCGGCGCATATCGGTTTATAGGCGAGGCTGCATGTTCCGAGGGTGGTCGACGCGGCAGACTGGGCGGTGGAGACTCCTCCCTGTCCTCTGCTTGATCGTATGATGGCCGGACTGGGAGACTAGGTGGCGGGGGCTCATCTCTAGTCGTCTCGGCAGGGGCGTGCTGCTTGTGGATGATACTGGCGATCGCAGCAGCAGCGGGGTTGTGAGACACATCAACTGGGGAGCCGGCGGGCGACTCCTCAGTTTCTTCCGGGGCAGTCTGCGTCGGCCGCTGCGGAAGCGTCGGCGCGGCAGGCTCGGCTCGAACAGAAGGTGGAGGAGGGACAATCGTTGCAGCAGAGGCATCCTCGATGATTTCGATGTAATTCGACGGCGCAAATCCATACTCTGAGTTGGTTCCAACTAACGTCCAATCCGGATCCGAGGTGTCGTACACCATCAGCTCAGCATCTTCTGAGAAGGAAACCTCCTCGTCAGTCTGTCGCGTGTAGTCGAAGAGGGCCGTAGCTCTGTGCGCTGGTTGCACCTGTTTCATCTAATATCAGCAATTGTCCATGCAGCGAGGCCGTACGGGTGCATTCCATCGGTGGAGCTCCGCAGCTTCAACGAGACTCACCTCTTCAACATAGTTGTTAGGGACTAGGCCTTCGGGTTCATCTTCATCCTCCCGTCCAGCCTTCTTTTTAGCCCTCCACCAGTCATCATCCGCATTCTTTTCCAAGATGTAGAGGAGGTCGCCCTCGCGAATCTCGAGTTCGCCCGCTCCCTGTGGCTGGTAGTCGTACACAGCCGAGTAGACACCGATGAAACCCATATTGGAAACTGATCCCACGGGACCTATCAATTACAGTCCACTGCAAATGGCGGCGTCTCAACGTGCCAAATCTAGGTTTCGCAGTGATGTAGTTTAGGGATGAACGGATGTAATCGGTGATGGCCCGTCGGTCAGCCTTGGCGCTTAGTGGGCGGAGCAGGGGATAAGTCGGGATGTGAGATGTCGGGGCGCGCGGAGGTAGACAAAGATGCCTAGGCGCAATGGATTGAGAGAGAGAGAGGGAGGAAAAGAGAAGAGGCGGAGGTTGGATTAGGGAGAGGGCGGGAAGGTGGGCCAGATAGGAGTTGACAGTCACGTTGCCTTAATCTATGTGGTTTTGAACATTCTCTCCAATTGGATTCTTTGGCTTTTTGTTATTTTTTGTTCTATTACTATTATTTGAATTCTTCTAATTCTCCGGCAAACTACTTTTCTACCCAATGCGCCCCTCGGCTCCGAGGCAACTGACATCTACGGACAATATATCGCTTTTGGTTCTTGATTGGTATACTAGGATCTAGGTGGCCCTGGAGTCGTGTGGGATTACAATCATATTGACTATATCAAATATCGAAAATCCTCATATACTAATAATATGTAGGATTAGACGCGTATAAATATCTATCCAGCGTACCTTGGAAGTCTAGAATGAGTGCTCCCGTGGCTGTTATAGTAAAACCAAGTACATGTAGTAGGTATGTATAGAAGACACACAAGCAGTAAATATGTTCCTAACTCAGGCACAGAAAAAACATGAATCATTCATATAAGGCTTGAAAAACGAAGAATATCAAAATGTACAAGATCTACTATACAATATTATA